ACATGATTTAACTTATCATTCACTGACAATGTAAAACGTTTCTACTCATAAGTAAATCACCTGGACTTCAACAAGACCAGTGCTCTGAGCGATGACGACTTCAATGGTCCCATCGGGTTTAGGTCGCCAGTATCCGCTCTCAGAATGCATAGGTTGTCCAGATTTCAAGTTCCATGTCTTTTGAGAATAAGCTATCACAGGCTGATAAAAAGAACAAAAATTTAGGCAAAAAAGATCATCGCATGTATAGTGACAGCGCCAGTAATTCTAATAAAGGGATTCGGAAAAAAAAAATGCAAGAATGCAACACTTGGAGGTTGAACATGCCACTTAACACAATTTTGTGAACCCCATTTGTTACAAGATTCCCTTTTTTTTAGGGAGACTCAAACAATGTATATATATATTACCCTCTCCGTCCCATTTTTATAACATCATTTGACTAGGCATAGAGTTTTAAGAAACAAATTTGAAACTTATGATCCAAACAAGCCATAAATATTTATGTGACGGTGTCAAGAGTTCATCGGGTTAAAAAGGACTCACTAAATCATTAACTAATCACGTACTAATACTAAAAGAACCATCTTTTCCGTATACTTCTCCTCCTACTCATCTCGAAATCTAAAGTTAAATTATTACTAAATATGACAATCTGCCCTTTTACATAAACATACCAAAAGGGAACCACAGAAACTAGGACAGAGGAAGTGTAATTAAAAAAAAAAAGAATCACTAAAATTTCAACTAAATACCGATAAAAAGATCACTAACAAATTTTAAACAGATACTCTCTCAGTTTCAATTTATTTATCTTACTTATCTTTTTAGTTCTGTTTAAAAAATACACCTTTCCTTTCTGGACAACTCTTTAATTCTAACTTTACACCTACATTCTATGTATTCGTAATTTAAAACTACAACATTCCTAAAATCTTGTTCAATTTCTTAGATTCCGTATCAAAATCAAAATCAGACAAACAAATTAAAACGGAGGAACTATTCGGAACCTAACCTTTTTCGAAGAGTGAGTAAATTGGAGTTCTTCGGAGTAATTGAAGGAAGAAATTGTAGGAAAAAAGCCTTCGCCTTCACCTTTCCATGTACCAAGCAGGTCAGATAAAGGTTTTACGGCCGGATGCACCATTTTTTCCGATAGATTTTCCGTGCCGGCGGCCATTTTCCCGATTGGTTCTTATTTTATTTCTCGTTTTTCAGCTCAATTTGAAGATTATATTTTCTTTTGACTAAAAAGTAAATACTATTTGGGCGGCTGCTTATAATTAATTACATGCGTTGACTAAGTAAATTTTTCCTTTACCATATACTTTGAATTAAGATACAATTTTTTTAAAAAAAAATACTATATTTTTGTAGTATTAAATTCAAATACTTGGTAAAAATATATCCGAAGCATGAGGTTTTTTTTTTGTGAATTTTTAACGTGAACTATGAAGTGTAAAATTTTTTTACTTGAATTATTTATTAAAGGAAAAAAACAAGCCTGGTATATAATAAGTCAATTGTAATGTGGATGAAATTTTTAAGGCATAATATATAAATAAACATATCATTTAACTTAATTTTATTTTATATTTATGTCTTTCAACTTTAAATATGCAATGTATAAAGTTAAACAAATAGACACATGAATATGGGTTCTGCTTCATCCACAAAATTTAGGCCCCATATGATCATAGCCAACAGGCATCAGCACATGACTTTGTTTGACAAGCTTATTAGCTCAACTTGTATAAATAATCCCTCTTTCATGAGCCTTTTCATCATCAAGCACAAGCATTATAAGTTCAGCCATCAAAAGTTTCGTGAATTAAAACTATCGAGAAATATAATAGATAATATCATATAATTATTATTTAATTTTTTATTAATTAGTTTTTCAATAATAACACTTGATCTACCAAACTCAATATAGAATATCAGTCATTTATTCTATCTAGACTAGAAATATAATGCCATATATTAATTATTTAATATTTTACTAATTAATTTTTAAATAATATTTAAATTAAGTGAAGGGTAAAATCATAATCCAACTTTGAAGTTAAAATCTTCCCAACTATTTTTAAATTTTACAATTCCTTCTAGTTGCGAACATGGTCTTGAGCTAAAGAAGAAACAAGGAGAAAAGAAAATAAAATCTAATAAGGAACAAAATAATAAACTTTTAATTTATTATATACTTAAAAGTTTTATTGTTTCCTATTTATTATTTTTCAGGGAGTAATATTTTTGGTAATTATTGGAAGCCCTAATATTCTTTTTATGTTATATTACATATCCGAATTTGAGTAGGTCTGCAAAACCTAATTTGAGTTGGATTTGCTTCTCTTCTCACCTCTACCTCTATATAAGAGGCCGGGGTTAACAAATTTTAACAATTTCAATTTCAATGGTTAGAGTTTTTGACCAAAATGAGCTATTTTTAAAATCAATTCACCAAAATAATACGTTTTTAATTTTTTTCACAAAACTAGTATAAACGTACTTCATGGTAGCGTTTTAGGATATTTTCATTATAAAAATTCAACGGACAAAAAGTTAACGGGTTGACGACATTAAGCGCATAAACGTAACTGTGAGTAACGTTTTAGGTGTAAAACGTTACTCAAGAGTACGTTTTTGGAGAAATGCAATCACGGGCCACTGACTCCAATCCTGCAAAGGCGGAGTCAAATCATTCAACTGTAAAACGTTACTATGAGTAACGTTTTACACCTAAAATGTTACTTTGACTCCCGTTTCTTAGATTTGATTGATTGATAGTTGAAGGACTGGTGCAAAGCTGTGTGTAGAAGATACTAGGATAAGAATGAAAGTGAAGTACTCCCTCTTAACCATACTTACAGAGGAGTCATTGTTGATATAAACGATCGAAAGATTTCATTTCAAGCTTTATCTATCTTTCTCTATAGGACATTGTGTAAACTTCATCTGATATTTGGGCAGATATGCAGAAAGTGTTATAGCAAAGGTCAAATTGACCCAGTTAACAGTTGAGTGTGTAAAGAAATTATGAAACTTTTGTTGAAAGAAAACGAAGAGTTTCTGAATGTACATTTAACGTTCCTAAATGCACTCTTATTATTTCTCTGATCATTGCTTTTAGAGTATAATATATTTGTGCTTGAAAATGTTTCCAAGTTGATGGACGTCAAGAAAACATCTCACTGTTTGTTTGTAGTTCTGGTTT